ATTCTTCTATGTGTCAATCATTGTATTGGTAAGCTGTTAAATTAAATGAATTGTTGGTAAGCTCTCCTCATTTGATAATCAAGTAGAGTTAGATTCCATAACCACAAGACACGAAAATTTATTTATTTTTATAAAATTTTATATCGCGACTCAATCGCATATTACTAGTATTGATAAACGAGTTGATCTCGAGCTCAATTACTGCCTCAATAAGGGCTTGAGATCAGCTCAGCTCGTTCACACCAACACTCCAATTATATAGGCTGACCAAAACCCAGTTTTGGTCTGGTTCTGGTTCGAAACCGCTGGTTCAAGTTCGCATTTTATGTGACGGAAACTGACCCGAGTATATATACGGGTAAATTCACTCACGGATCAGAATTGGCCCACGTTTCAAGGCCGAAACGACAAATTAAAACAATAAAATAAAAAATAACCAAATTTAATTTTAAAAAAAAAAAAAGCATCCATTTAAAATCCTTTCTTTAATTTTGGAATATCGAGCATATCCAAAATTATCCTCATATACTCCCAAATGATTACAATCAATTACACATAATAGACCCAAAGACTAAATAACTCTCAAAGTGGCCCAAAAAAAAGGGAGGGAGATTGAAAAAAAAAAAAAAACAAGAAATCTTCAGCTCTTTATGGCCTTGTAAAGCACCACAGTCACATACTTCGACAAGAACCGGTTAGTCGAGCCGAGGGCCACAACCGAAGGGTGGGCCCGATCCTTGTGCATGTAGAGATGGTTCAGCACCACATGCTGAGGCCTCGAGTGTGGGGCCGGAATTTCCATGTGGGCCGAGGGGGCGTTAAGCAATGTCAGATTCAGGTGTGGAGGTGCCATTGGAGGCTCTTTTGCAAAGTCCTCTTGACCGAGTTGAGTGTTGTTGTAGGTCGAGTCGGGTGATTGAGGCGGCTCGAAACCCGATATGCTGTCAATGTCTTCCGGCACATAGTCCTAGAAATTTGTAATAAAAACGAAGAGAATGAAAAACGAGAGGATGTATCAAGGTTGTACTCTATTTCGCAAAAGAATCCATCTTTCCTTCTACAAAGGCCTCGTTTACTTAAATGATGGGATTGGATAGTTTAATCCCCATCAACTTTCCACATCAGCTTATGTCCAACGTTACAAAACATGATGCATTCTAACGCAAAAACAATCAAGCGTTTACTAACCTAACCTGGATGAAATGACACGATAAAATGCAAAATATGAAGTGGTACCAAAATATATTTATAATGCCTAAATCTGTATTTGGTGGACTTCTAAGGGTAAAGGGACATTTCACATGTCAATTTTTAGACAAAATGGTCATTTCTAAGTTGGCATTAAAATGTCACACCCTCAACTGACAAAATAATCCTGCCAATCGTGCATAAAAATGTGGACCCACATGACACATCAGCTTATTATCCAATCCCATCATGATAGTAATCGTTGGATAACAAGAATTATCAAAACCATATCCTATCCTATCAGCTTATCAGCTTAAGTAGACAAGGCCAAAGTTGATGAACAAAAAAACAAAGGGTTCCGGGGATTGAATTTCTCAACATAATATAAACTGCCCAGAACGGAAATAATGAATAAATAAAAACCCACAGTTTCTCAGATAAGACAGTAGTTTAGATAAAAACCTACCATTCTTGAAATTATCGTTGTGTTGTCATTGCAACTGCTCAAAGCATTATAAATCAATACTAATCAAATGTGCATGGCGTTTGCAGTTTGTGCTTGTATATTGTGACTTAAAAGTTGGATAAAGATAACCCCACCTATGTGCATTTGAATCGTGCTATTTAGACACTAATGAAAAAGGAGCATTTTGTAACACACATTAGTTCAATTCACGATAGCAAAATCCTTTTATAAAGACCCACTGATGAAAAATGTGCATTTTGTAACACAATATTAGTTCAATTCACGATAACCAAATCTTAGCTGAGATTGGCCACAATATATAGGACTTATTTCTTATCACGGTATATATAGCTGAGAACAGGTAATCAAAAATAAGTTATAGTGCAAACTGAGGTACAACACAATTTATTACAACATTCATAATCTAGATATCGAGCATTATGAACAAATTGATCAAATAACTCAAATTTAGATGTGCATTGGCCATCTTAAACCATATCCTTTTTTATATATATATTGTAGGGAATCAATATCGAAAGTTATGGAAAGCACGTAAAACCATAGATCATAGTTAACTCATAATGATTTTCATTTTCACACATAAAATCAGCAATCAATAGTAAGTTTCTTATATCTAAGAAAGTGTAAAGCTAGAGATAGCCACAACTAATCAAAGGGAAGAATCTAACACCAAATAAACCATTATAACCACATCCATTTTTCGAGAGTAGACTAACTCCTTTTCTAGAATTTTAATTTAATTATTGAGTTTATACATCTTAATATGTAATATATCCGAACATGAAAGACCCCACATGCTCATTACAGTTCTAAAGGAAACAGAAACATGAAAACTTTCCTGTTCTTTCTTTTCTTGCAATAGAGTAATGGGATAAATTAACAGAAAACTATGGAAAAAAAAAAAAATTACGAAGAGCCAACAAACATACCAGAAGGAAAGAAAGAAAGAAAGTACCTGCAAGTCTAAAATGTTATAAGCATTTCCAGATTCATCTTTCTCCCATGGCTGATCTGTGGTGTACTTCAATTGTCCATCAACAATAAACCTGTACTGATAAACCCCTGAAGGAAGTACCATCATGATAGTGAAATCCTTTCCAGACTTTTGCAAGGGCTTCCTGTATAATTCACACCACGCGGCTTTAAAGATAGTTTTCGGTATTATTGGAAGCTTAGGGTGTGTTTGTTTATAAATTATCTCAATTCATACTCATTCCATACTCGAAATCTAACTCAAATTTAACTCAACATGTCATCAATATTATCAATATAAATTAAATAACACAAATCATTCATTCTCACACTGTTACACGTCACATCAACTTTAATTCACTATTCATCCACTCACATAATTTTAACTAACAATCATCACTTCATACCATCTATCTCCTACTTTTACATCAAATCAACTGTAATTATTTTAATATAAACTCAAAATACCACTATATTCAAAAGAATAAAGCTACTTGTACAATTATTTTGTACAATTATTTTGTACACCATGATGTGTCATCATGTAGATAAGTGAGATCCAAAAAAATGTGTGGTTAAGATTTGTTCAATGATTGTGATAACTAGTGTTGTCAACTAATGTTGTCAACACTAGTTGTACATGTAGCATGACCCTATTCAAAATTAATTATGATCAACCAAAAAACTCATTTTGAGCGAATATATTTGTATCCAATTCAAGCAGCCCTTGGGAACATCCTTTTGGATATTTGAAAAGGAACTAACCTCGTTTTCCAGTCATCCCATGATCCCTCGACAGCAACATCCTTTCCGCCATAGCTCCACGTGATCATAGTTGGAATTCCTTGCTCCTTATATGTGTCTTCATAAGTCGAGCCTGTTTGCATCCATGAAGGGTTTGGGATTTGCAGCTCGTCAGGTCTTTGTAAAGGTACCACGGGCATCTGGACAGAAAACAATAAACTGAATTTTGGTTGGTGAACTGCAAAGCTATTCAAATTCTACTATGCACAACAAAAATCTACTACACACAACTACAGTCATATTGATTCTGGTATAATGTCCTTTACGAACAAAAAGGATTACTAATATGGACATTGCTAGATTTCGACTTAACAAAGCCATTCCAAATTTATTCAAACCACCAGCTAACAGATGTTCAAATTTGCGATATTATATCTCAAATGCATAATTAGATACTCAAAACAAACAGCACTTCCCATTATTTTAAAAATCTACCACAAATTTGAGATCTTTACTGCAAATTATCTACATACAGTGCCAGATTACACAGAATTTAAGGAACAGGGTTCAGTTCACTATAATTACAGCAACGTATCCAGATGACTATATCCTCAGATCTAGCTTGATTCCTATACATTACAAGTTTACAATTCACTAATGCATGTTCTAGATAACAACCCAGATAAAAGAACAGTATAACAGTGATGCTTATCATCAACAAAATTTACAGCCAATTTCCATAAAAGATACCATCTTTGACACTCAAAAACTTAAAACAACCCAAAAGAAACCAAAAAAAAATAAAAACCCAAGTGGCCATTTAAAGAATCAATCAAAATGGGGGCAAAAAATGACCTGGGGTCTGAACATCAAAGGAGACTGAGAAGCCCTAGGGCTTGCAGGAGGCGATTGTCCCATATACTCGCCGCCGAGCGCACCATCGCCGTCGGCCATGATAACCTGCGCACTCCCGCCGTCCTCCGCCTCAGATGGGCTCTCGCCGCCGGCCTCCTCCCTTCCATTCGCATTCCCCATATCCAAACTCTTCTACCAAACCCCTTACAAACACCCAAAAAAATAGAGGAAGCAAAAACCTCCAAGAATTATTACCCTACTCGGAGCTTTTCATCCCCGACAAGCTGAAGAAAAAAAATGGAAAGGAGGAGACGAAAACTGAGAAGGGGTGAAAGAGAGAGATAAAAAGGGCAGGCAAATTCAGATGGGTTTAATTAAAGGGGGGTGTTTGATGGATCATACTCATTGGATTAATTAAGAAAACCTAAAAACTAAAAAGCCCCTTTTGCTTGGAGACGAAATGGCACGAACACTGATTCCTTTTTTCTTGATTGTTGATTACTATAAAGTGGAGAGATGGGTTTGTGTCATTGTGTGTGTGGTAATATGTAAAATCCTGTGAAGCTGGAATTAATTAATTATTTAATGATGTTACTTCTGTTTTTATTTTTTATTTTTTTTTTCTTAATATTTAATGTGATGAATAATTGGGCACAATTCGTATTTTACTATCTTGTCTTTTGTGTTGCATATTTTATTTGATTGTAAATAAATATAGGGAGATATTATGTGGTTTCATGGCGAAACTATTTCGTCGAGTTTGTAACCGTTAGATCAACTATCATTAACGATTACATAATGATTTAACGGTTACAAACTGAGACAAAATGGTTCCGTAACAGAATCGTAGCATTTTCCATAAATATAATAATAAGCCCAATTTTAATTAATTTTGTATTATGTTTTTTTTTTTTTT